ATTTTTTTTTGGGGGGGGGGTGTCTCCAAAAAAAAGGGAAAGAAATTTGTTTTAAGTTAAGAAAGAAATCGAGAAAGAGAGGAAGATATTAAGAAAGAAAAAAAGGAAGACAGGCAGAAAGAAGAACAAAATACATCCCACTAGCGGGAACTCGTGTCTTTCGGGTACACAAAAAAAGAGAGTAACCACCGCACCACAACATTTATCAAGTGTCAGACTTCACCATAGAATATTACGTACAAAGAAAACTCGGCACACCTTTTCATGTTTTTTTCACAGTTTTGATAAGAGAAGGATTAAGTCGTAACGAAGGTATTATACTATGGGCTAGATCTGCTATGGACGCTCTCATGTACCTCTAGTTATGGATGGGTGCGCCTGGTAGAGACGCCATCTGATTGGCTGAGCCGCGTATCAGTCACGAACATTTTCACCTGAGGGCATGACCACTGACCAGTCCACGCGCTGACCATGTGGTGACTTTATTCAATTTTTAAAATTACGTCACGTTTGAGAAAAACGATTGGTCATTATGTTCTCGTTCTATCACGATGATTGGTCGAGGCAAAACATATGCTTGCTTGTGATTCTGTTCTTGAATTTCTTTGTCTTTCTCTCTGAATTCGCGCCACTTTTGGATTTCATCTCCTGAGGGACACTGCTTTTTCTCTCGTGGAGCTAATTTTTCAACAGTTTTTTGTGACTTCAGATACACAGTTTTATACACCTGGGAGTAGCATCGGTGTGGTTCAAGTCCACGGTTGTATATTTCTGTGAGTATTATCGCTGTGGTGCAAGTCCACTGTTTTCTTCTTTTAGGAGTTATATCGCTGCGGTTCAAGTCCACTGTTTTCTACTTCTGGGAGTTATATCGCTGTGGGTCAAGTCCACCGTTTTCTACTTCTGGGAGTTATATCGGGGTGTTAACAAACTGATCTTGCGATTATTCCTGGGACACTTAGAATTCTGGACGTTTGACCAGGAAAAAACTTTTGTTCAGTTCTGGACTAGAGTGTGTACTTTATCAACTGTGACACAAAGTGCTGGATAGAGTTAGCGTCTGGCAAGAAAATACGAACTGTGTGACTTTTCACGTGTATTTTTCTTGGTGCAAGTGCTTGGTGTGGTTTGTGTTGTGTGCTACATCGTACAGAGCTTCACTATGTCCACTATGATGAACCTTCACCCCGAGGTCTACGAGACCTACTCGGTCAGCGCAACAGAGGCGCTTGGTCTGAAAGAAGACAAGAAAATAGCGAAAGGTGGTTCCTGCCAGGTCGTTGTAGCTACAGATGTGAACGACCCAGCTAAGAGAAAGGCTTTGAAAAAACTCATGTTTCTTGAGGATGAACGCGATTACCGCAAGAAACGTTTCTATTTCTGCAATGAGATTCGGTTTCTCCAAAACGTACAACATCCCAACATCATCCAAGTTGACAAAGCGCTCGCATGTCCGGGAGAGTTTGTCATAGCGATGGAATACCACCCTATCGACCTCTATGGCGCCATGCCTTGTCTCACGGACGCAGAGATCACCAAATACTTTACTCAGGTCGTCGACGCGTTGTTCTATCTTCACGACCGGCACATCGTTCACGGAGACGTCAAACTTGAAAACGTGTTGATAGACATGCAAGGAAACGCCAAATTATGCGACTTCGGTATGGCTCAGCTTATTCCCAACAAGAGTTCTAAACTTTGGGGCGGCACTCGTGCATACAACGGACCTGAGTACACGAGAGGTCAACCTGTGGAGGATGTTTTTCAATTAGAAAGCTTCTCGCTGGGAGTCTTTCTCTGTGCCTTGTCTCTCTATGTATACCCACTCAAAGGCTTGGACTACTTGGAGTTACTGAGAGGTGCCGAGTCAGTGCCAGACATTCACAGAGTATGCGCTGAACGCCTCCTTTGTCCCTCACCGGCAGAGCGAGCCTCCATCTCGGAAATTCATCAACTACTCAACGATCACAGGCAGTCAGAGAGTCGCCCCCAGCTTGACGTCATCGACGAGTCTCCCGCCCCTGTCGTGTCTGTGCCAAAACGTCGTAAACGCTCTCACGTCAAAGAAGAATACAGAAATCTTCATTCCAGAGGGAAAGC